GAGCCAACAGATTAGAAGATAATATGAGTTCATATTTGTATGAACCTTGTATGAACCTTGAGTCAACAGATTAAAAGATAATATGAGTTTCACCCATGTTCAGGGCAGTCCCAGCCCGAGAAGATATATGTGAATTACTTCCTATTATCAGAGCTCTTGGGACTTGTCATCTCGTAGAGCCCAGTGCTGTAATAACTCTGCATTTAACCAGAAGAAAATAAATCTACGTAAAGCTGATTCTTGTTTCCTGAGTGTTACTTCTTGGGGCATTCAGATAAAAGAATCGGTTGTATCTAAAACTGGCCATTTAATTAGGTTCACTTACATTTTAGCAGTGTAGTTTCCACACTGACCTGACAGCAAAATGCCCCCAAAATTATATTTCAGTACAAAAAAACAACAATGAAGAACCAGGAGCATGCTTATGAATACTGTTATGGGAAAACTTTTTTTTTATTTATTCTTGGTGCACACACATGCATGTTGCCCATCACTGTGATTATGTCTCATTGGAGCTTAATTTGTATGAATTATTCATGAGATAAGGGTTAGGACATAGTAAATACAAATCCTTTAGAGTGGAACAGGCACCAATGGCATTGATCAGCACTGATGCATGATCTATCTTTTCATGGAGCTATTGTAAATTGGTATGGTAAGACATTATAAAAAACAGAACGCAAATGTCACTTCTGCTTTGAACGAATCAACTTTATAAACTAAGTATGTAGATGAAATTTCATCAATATCATTTTTCCATTTCTCTAATGTATACATGTGTAATTAGATTGCAGTACACACAAACAAACTGGAAATGAGTACAAACAGGACTGTTAATGATGTACATGTCTGCTTTAAAATAGATGTCTCTCATGCACTGGCAAACACCAATTTCATATTATGCATATTACTTAATATTTTCCTAAGTTCATTATCTTGTATAACTGTATGTGGAAACTTGCTGGTAATAATCGCCATCATTTACTTCAAACAGCTACACACTCCAACAAACGATCTCATTCTCTCTCTGGCTGTGGCTGACCTTCTTGTTGGTTTTGCAGTTTCTCCTCTTGCCATAAAATTCTCTATGAGCTCATGTCTTTATCAATATAATGTATTCTGTAAAGTACGGAGCAGCTTTGCTGTGTCACTGTGCACATCATCTATTCTGAACTTGTGTTGTATTTCTGTTGACAGATACTATGCAGTGTGTAAGCCTCTGACATATAGGACTAAGATAAGTGATCATGTTATTGTGATAATGATCCTGGTGAGCTGGGGTGTTGCTGTTGTAATTGGAATTATTTTACTAATTGCTGGATTAAATCAAAAAACATGCACTAATACGTGTTTACATTTTGTTATAGTGGCAAACATTATGGCACTTCTTCTTGCATTTTATCTCCCAATGATTGTAATGCTGTGTATCTACATGAAGATTTTCCTTGTTGCACAGAGACAGGCACGTAGCATCCAGAACACAAAGTCTGGAGCAACTGTCAGTAAGATGGAGAGAAAGGCCACCAAAACTCTGGCTATTGTTATGGGAGTTTTTCTGATATGTTGGTCCCCTTACTTTTTCTCTGTCACTGTTAAAGCCTTCAGTAAAGTTACAGTACCACCTGTTTTGCTGGAATTACTTGACTGGTTTGCACTGTCAAATTCAACGCTCAATCCATTTATTTATGCTTTCTTTTACAGCTGGTTCAGATCAGCTTTCAGAATCATCATTTCTGGAAAAATAATTCAAGGTGATGTTAGTCACTCAAAATTGTTTTGACTTGTTTGGTATGTTGAAATACTGACATAGTCTTTACACACACACACACACACAAAATGGCAGTGCATCTAAGACCTAAACCCTGCTGTTAATCTTTTTTTTTAATTACAATGTTTAGTCTCTCACCATCAGACACAGGGCTCAGGGTTTGTCACAGTGCAGCCAACAGAATTACATCACATATTCCATACCTTTTATTTTATTATGATGACCATCTAGCTTCAATGGAATCTGACCCAGATGGTGGTGGGGGGCTGGGGGCTCAAAAATATTTTCATCCAGAAAATGGGGAAACAGGAGAAAAAGATAGGAAACCACAGCCTTATATGTTTTATGAAAGTATGGGTATATATTCCTTCATCTACAGTAAATGTCACACTGAAATATTTTTGCAATATATACATATTATGTAACAGTACAATATGTAAGTTATTACTTGTCATTACACAAAATTTTCACAATTAAAAATAAAGGCAATGTTATTATCAGTATTATTTTGCACAGAGGTATTTCATTGTATGTCTACTACAATACATGCATTTTTTCCAATATATAATATGTAACAGTACAGTATGTAACTTATCACTGGCTTGTCATCACACAAAATTTATTTGTAATTTAAAAATAAATGGCAATTTTTTTGCACATTTCCATACATATGTGTACTATAATACATGCAATCATATATTCATAAAACATCAAAGCAAAATTACTTATATGATGTAAAATGTGTTCATTTTCTATGTACATGTGATCTGCTTAGGTTATGTAAAAACATCAGTTTGTTCTGTGACCTGGCCACATGCACAAACTGATGACTGTCTTGGAATGAAATTTCCTGTGTGCTGTGTTATGGACCTGAATGTATGTGTATCACTGGACACATTACTTAGCTAAACAGAATGGTCTGTGTGCAAAAGATAAAACTGAGATTTTGCAGATATCCACTCATCATGATAACAGTAAAAATAACATCTTACTGCAAGCCATTTTGTTTTTCATCTGCACATGCCCACTTCCTAAGTTGACAGTAAAACTGTTGACTTTCCATTCTACTAAAACGTGCAGTAGTAACATCTACTGGCTAATCATTTATCTGTACAAAACAGTCAGTAAAACTACTATGTACTCACTGGCCATATTGCTATCTAAAGAATAGAAATTTGTTGATAAAGTTGTTACATTCACTGATTAATCATTTGTCATCTAACAACACAGTTCTGTCACCTAATGTGTACTACTGAGAGCATGAAATGTTGCCTTTAAGGCTGGATCCCAGCTGGCTGACAGATCATATAGAGCCAACCTGAACCAAGCCATCAGAACAGCAAAATGTGCATATGGACAGAAAATCCAAAGCTACTTTCATGACTCCAAGGATTCCAGACACATGCCGGAATCCAAACAGTCACAAATTACAAGATCTCTCAACTTGCTAAAACCATTTAATAGCCATTTGGGGCAGTTTGTGGCACTGAACAACATGCGAGCAATTAAATTTGCTCTACATTACAATGATCAGGTGCAGACCAATTTCAATTAGAGATGGGCAATGAGTTTCAAATATTCAATTGTCATTAAATAATAAACCTTGGTTCACAGTGAAGCTTAAACGGCGCCGTCATGCTAAAGAGGAGGTCTACAGGAGTGCGGACAGGTCTCTGTATAACCAGGCCAGAAACACACTGACAAAGGAGATCAGAATAGCAAAGAGGAGCTACTCGGAAAGACTGAAAAATCAGTGTCGGGCCAACAAACCATCAGTGTGGAGGAGCCTATGGAGCATCACCGGGTACAAGAGACTCCCCCACCCTGTTGTGGAGAGCTATAAGCTGGCTGATGAGCTGAATGAGTTTTATTGTAGGTTTGAAAGGCAAAACTCTTCACCCCTCTCTCACCTCATCTTGCACCCACAACCAGTAGCTGCTTCCTCTTCCTTTAGGACTACCTCTCCCACCTCTCCGCTCATCAGTCCACCACCTCTGAGGATCTGTAAAAGAGATGTGTGTTGCCTTTTTAGGAAATAAAAGATCAGTAACGCACCAGGCCCTTCTTGTCTGAAAGTCTGTGCTGACCAGTTGGCTCCTATCTTCAACAGGTCACTGGAGCTTTGTGTAGTTCCCTCCTGTTTCACATGCTCCACCATCATTTCCAGTTCCCAAGAAATCTTCCATCAGGAAGACCTGTAGTCATGAAGTGTTTTGAGAGACTGGTATTGGCCCACCTGAAGGACATTATAGATCCTGGACTGGATTCCCTGCAGTTTGCTTACCGAACAAACAGGTCAGTGGATGATGCAGTCAACATGGCACTGCATTACACCCTGCAACACCTTGATTCACCAGGGACCTATGCGCAGATCTTATTTGTCAACTTCAGTTCGGCATTTAACACCATTATCCCAGACATCCTCCAGTCCAAACTTATCCAGCTCACTGTGCCTGCCCCCGCCTGTCACTACATCCTGACCAACTTTCTGATGGACAGGAAGCAGCAGGTGAGGCTGGGGAAAACCACATCCAGCACCAATACTATAAGCACAGGTTCCCCCCAGGGATATGTGCTCTACCCGCTGTTGTCCTCCCTCTATACTAATGACTAATCATGAAGTTTTCAGACAACACAACAGTCATCGGCCTTATTCAAGACCGTGATTAGTCATCCTACAGACGAGAGGTTGAACACCCTATCTCCGCTCACTATACTCAGCAGCACTGTTTCAGTCATGGAGTCCTACAAGTTCCTAGGCTCCACAATTTCTTAGGACTTGAAGTGGACAACCAACATCAGCGCCATTATTAAGGCATAGCACAGGATGAACTTCCTGCATCAGCTCAGGAAGTTCAACCTGCCTCAGGAGCTGCTGATTCAATTCTATAGGGGAATCATCAAGTCTGTTCTCTGCACCTCCATCACTGTCTGGTTTGGCTCAGCAACCAAACAGGACAGGAATAGACTCCGGCTGACAGTCAGAACTGCAGAGAAAATCATCGGTGCCAGCTTGCCCTCCATGGAGGAGCTGTACACCTTACATGTCAAAAGGAGGGCAGAGAGGATTTCTGCAGACCCCTCTCACCCTGGATACAAGCTCTTTGAACTCCTCCCCTCTGGAGACAGATTAACATACAATGGCTCTGTCACCAGAAGAAGTAAATTTGATGATTGACATGCAGGGCAAACAATGGCCCTCATCACAAAGATGAGGGAGAGGGTTTTTGAAGTTTGGTGGCATTTGTTCAGCCACAGTATAGGGTCTAAGAAAAACAGTCACAGCATGACTGGATAAACCTATATGATGATAATGCATGTGAGCTGTGCAGTTGTTTGACAAGTGTTGAAAAGGTGTCTCTGACCACAGATGCATGGACAGCTCTTAAAACTGAATCGTATGTGACAGTCACCTGCCATTATATAAGCAACTGGCAAACAAAGAGTGCTGTTCTTCAGACTAAAGCAATGCCAGAGCGGCATACTGCTGAAAACCTGTTGAATGTGCTTTCCACTACTGCAGAATACTGGGAACCTATGGGTAAAGTCACAGTATGTGTACATGATAATGCCAGCAGTATAGTGCTAGCCAACACAGAGCAGCTGGATTGGAACTCTCAGCTGTGTGTGTGTATGTGTTGGGGGGGATATCGAATAACAGTTTAGCTTGAAATTCCCATTTCTAGTATTAATTTGTACACCGTCCAACATGCTTTACACCTCATGGGTCAAAAGGAAGGCGGAGAGGATCACTGCAGACCCCTCACACCCTGGACACAATCTGTTTGAACTCCTCCCCTCTGGACGGTGTTACAGGTCACTGTGCACCAAGACAACCAGGTCTCTATTTTTAATTACTCTATTTTTTATTCCTTTTATTCCTATTATCTCATTTCAATGAGCATTCCTTTGTTTGTCTGCATTGTTTACTGCCTGTTTATACTGCTTATTCTGCATTGTTTGCACTGTTTGTTGCTTGTTAATACTGCTTATTGTTTTGACTGCACTTACAATACAGGATGCCATTTTAGTCAGATGACGTATTTATTCAGCGATCTGACATACACAGTCCACCAACAGTACCACCTGGTGGGCGGATATGATCACTGAACATATTATCAGTACATCTCCCTTTTTTTCAATTTTTAACAGTGTCAAGTAATTATGATTTCTCAACTATAAATTCTTAACAGGGTATTGTCTCTGAAATAACTTTAGCTCAACCATTTCAAACATATAACCAAGCTATTCTGGTGCAATAACAACATTTGGCACATTATAACCAAGTTTAAACAACCTGTACCTTCCTCTCCTTGTCAAATGTATATATATATATTTTCTATTTAATGAGGTAATGGCATATACCAACTCAATCAACATTCCTCGATCAGTCTCTTATGTCTCATAATGTTTCTGCGTGGTCTGTCTTGTCCTATTCGAGTAGGTGTTACATTGTAAGAGTCACGTGAGGTATGCGCCATGCCACCAGCAGAACCAGCTGTGGAACTGGGCCGTTTTGCCTTTGGGCTGGTGTCTTTTCCTAGTCCATCATTGCTGCCGTTTCCCACTTCTTTAAAAGTAGTGTTTGGTACTTTGAGTAGATGACAATGATTTCTTCTCAGCGTGCTCCTATACTCGGTAATGACTTAATAGGACCTTGGTGTCGTCTCTTTG